ATTTAAATGTACCTTTTCCAGTCTGTCAATATTCCTACAGACATGTAACCATGTCTTCTCGTCAGGAAGACCTCCTGGCATCCACATCTTGGTCTTTCTATTTTTTGACTCTAAAATAAAATCTCCTCCCTCGCCTTTTGAACAGTTTCCTGATATACTGAACGATTCGTTATTTTCTATGAAATTTCTAATTTCTGGAGGGCACTGAATGCGAAAAAAGGAATCTCTAATAAATGTCTCGATATAAAATGGCATGGAGAATCCAAAAAATAGCGGGGCGAATTTAAAAAGTGCTGTTCTGATTGCAGAGGTGTTGTTCCTCCTCACACCAGCCCTGAACACATGAATTGAAAGACATAAAGTGAACACTGCATTAACCATGAATTTATAATTGGGATTCTTTACATGTTTTGTCCATATATAAAATCCTTCTGCTGTTGGTCTTTCATTCTTTTCAACTCCTCTCTGGCATACAGCAGGAGGAGCTCTTCTGCCATGGCATGAAGAAATATTTGGAAAATTTGCCAACTTTTGTGGTGGTCTGATTAAAGAAATAAAAGGAAACATAAGTTTAAATCTTTGCATAAAAATATGAAATGAAATGGATGTTCAAACAAAAACGTCTAAGTAAAGAAACCACTGTTTGAAATTGACGATAAGGGAATACATGTACCGGTTGCAGCCATACAGGAGGCTAATGCCTTCGGGCTGTGAAAGCCCAGCATCACTGCTAAGTCAACTAAAATGACGTCCCAAAGTAATCTAAAGACTGCTTTTAGCATATTCATCTCAAAATGCCCTAATCCTGAAATTGAATACATATAGGCAATTTTTCTTGAAATAATGTTAAAAAAAGTAGCTATATATATTTTTTTTTAATTGAAATTTACAGATCTTGTTTAGATATGTTAACAAAAATGTTTGCTCACCGGGTACCATGATTATATCCAGATACTTCAGGCAATCGTTGATGTTAGAATACTTTTCATGATCAAATAAAATTTTGTGTTTTTCAAATTCTTCTACGCTTGTAAACTCCATCTCACATTCTCTACATCGACACACACTGTCGATTGTTCTACATCCAAGAGTGTAAGGAAGACCATCGCATCCTACTATTGTCCAAGACCTTCCCTCGCCCACTTCAGTTTTACTTAGAATATGGTCAAAAACCTGAAAAAGTGGCCCTACTGTTCTTTAAACGAGACAAACTAATTTTTCAAAGATAAAGAGTTTCAGCGATAATAAAATTCTATACCATACCTTTTCTAGAGCTTCATAAGAACATGGATTTTCGAAGCAGGGGTCACCAATAATAATTTCTGGTTTGTTAGCATGCCCAGATGGTATAAACGTGTATCTTCAAAGAAAAGAAAAAAAGAATCAAATAATTGTATGAGCAATTAAACAAAGCAATTACAAAAATTGTCAAATGGAAAATGGAGATACCTTTCAGTGGAAGTGTTAGTTGTCAAAATAGTTTTCTTCTGGTCGATATAGTCTTCAAAGGTGTTATTTGCTTTCCGCATTTGACTCTCCACAATAACTTTCAACTTTTTTTCAATAAATCATTCCTAAATGAATAAAAGAGTTAGTTTACAGATGTTGGAATTTTTTTATAAGATACACATGTGTGCTCAAATTTATATGTTTATAAAATGGAGTACCTGTATTTCCTGAAATTTTGATTTGCTTCATCGACTTGTGATTTTAATTTAGGAACAAGTGCCTGTTTTGCCTCCGTAGACAGATCATACCATTTTCTTGGTGATAAATCTGGATTTGTTTGAAGAATCTCTACTGAAGTTTCATTCGGGATTATATGTATAAGATTCGTTACTACGCTGCTTTTACACTTAAAATCAAACTCAACCCTCCATCTTTTCTGTAAAACTTTTGCAAGTACAAAATAATAAGACTAAACTATCTATTACACAAGTATATATGTAATTGGATGGTAAAATATTTTGTTCTACAACAGTACGTATACCTGGTTGTTGTCAAAAAATTTGAAAACATCGGCATCACCAGGACCTGTAAGTGGGTCTCTGCTGTGATCTGAAATCCACGTCTTTATGGTTGCATAACAACCTGAGGGTGATCCCTTACTATTTAAATCTATTGCAAACCGACTTCCTGTGATATAGTATGTCAACAGATTTTGAATAAAAGCTAGCGAGGACACATATGTAGGATTGCTTAAGTTGTAAATGTGTTCCACAGTTTTCACCAACAGTGGCAGATCAGGATTTTCATTGCAAGCAATACCTTGAAGAAAAGAAACTACAACCTTGTCTCTCTTTGATAACCAATCTAAAATTAAAGAATATATATATATATATATATATATATATATATATATATATATATATATATATATATATATATATATATATATATATATATATATATATATATATATATATATATATAAACCATATATATATATAATTCATCATATATATATCATTCACCATATATATATAATTCAAGGACAGTTCTGAATGCTTACCCTGCAAATTAAGATTCTGGGGTTCAGTATCATTTTTATAAACATTCTGGATGCTGACCGAATCTTTGAATATGTCCTTTGACTGTTTCTTTGCAATATTAAAGACCAACTCGCAGCTTTGTTCATGCGTTAACTTCCCATCCCTTATATACTCCAAGAATGTTTCAAATACTGAAGATTCACACTCTTCATTACTAATTTTGCGCTCTTTGTTAATCAAATTTTCTGGCATAAACGTGGTTTCTGCATGTTGTACACAGGAAGAACAAACATATTTGGAATGTTCGGTCAAGGACCCATTTTTTTATCAAAGTTTCGACAATGTCTTTTTTTACTTTTTTCCCCTTTACTTTAAACACAGTTATTTTTTCATCAGAAACTTTTTTGATAACAGCATCATGGTCCTTACTTCTACACGATTTTGTAGGAGGCATTCTAAAAAAAAAATATATATTTTTTTTTAAATTCTAAAAAAAAATGAGTGCTTCGTTCTGTATCAAAGTTTAAATATTCTAATGTTTGAATGATCAATTTAAGTGCAAGGGATAAACTTTAAGGGAATAATTGTATGACTAAAGATGAAAAACACATTATTTTATAAAAACGAAACATTGTTTTGTTTGAAACGTGTTTCCATACAAATAGAATTGTTAGCAACTTGTTTATGTTAGTTGTACTGATTTGTTTAAACTATAGCTCACAGAATATTGGTAATTTGCATATATATAAAGTAGGATATTGGCTTGAAAAATTTGCAAACGTATTTCACATTAAACAAAATATAAAGTAGAAAAAGACCGTGTTTGGGAGCAGAATGTTAAACGTGCTTACCTTTTCAAGCCTTTGTTGTTGTGAGCGCACAAACTTTGAGGTCGAGGTTATCTTTTTAGAAGTGAATTATATGCAAAATATTTACCACTAAGTGAAAGTTTACTCCGCATAATGCGCCATCCCAATGTTTAATTTTTATTTTGTGATATCACCTCCTATACCCGATTTCGCGGATTCTACGATACCCCAATATCGCGTATTATACCCGATTTCAAGGATAATACTCGATTTCGGGTATTCTCTCCGACCTGTTTAAAGGGATGAACAGCAAATGATGTTTCATGTGAGTTACAATTAAGCTATCTCCTTAATAACATCTGTAACTTTTTCAGGTCGTCGGGACATCAATGTTTGTTTAATACGTCAAAGTTTTTTTGTCAAGTGACATGTTTAACTCCTACGAAAAATTTATTCAATATGTCCTCCTTACAAATTATTTTTTCTATATTTTGACATTTTTTTCTCAATTTTTATATTGAGATTTAGGACTTGAACAGTAAATCGAATAAAAATTAATCTAACTTCAGAGACCAAAAAAAGAATAACGAAGCAGTTGGTGGTTTTTGTAAGGATCGATTTTTCACAAATTCTGCTTCATATGAATACATGTACAAAAATAGGTCTGCTAATAACTGGGCGATATTGGTATCCATGGGATTTCCAATAGATTGTTGGAAGAATTGGTCTCCAATCATAAACTCAAGCATCTGTTTGATGTCAACATCAAAGGACTTGTGTGTACAATCAGAATGTTTTTTTAAAAATAATAATTTGACAAATCAGATGTGGATATCCTTAAAAATTCTAATTAAGGAACGATTGCAAAATTTTACTAAAATAAGCAATATAAAAACGTACAAATTTTTAACCTGATAAATAACTATTCCCCACGATAAAAATTAAATTCAAAGATGTTTGCTAACATAGACAACTGCTTTTTTAATTTTTAATGGTTATTTGCAAAATTATTTTGTACATTGTAAAAACACTCTGACTGTACACACAAGTACTTTGAAGTTGATATCAAAAAGATGTTTAAGTTTTTGATCGACAGTATGCATGTGGTTTTAGAAGATGAAGTCTCCAAAAAATCTATTGGAGTCCCCATTTGTACCTATTGTATGCGGTTTTTAGCAGACCTATTTTTGTATTCATATGAATCAGAATTACTTATGTGCAAAACAAGAAAATTCTTGCCTTGGCCTTAAACTTGATATTTAGAAAATATCGACTAAATAAGCGTATTGTCAATTAACAATGATTATTTCCATTCCTTTGTCGATAGGATATAACCAGGTGAGCTTGAAATGGGCGACTATTTAATTTTCGTTATTAATGCTTTAAACATCCTAAATATATCCAGTGTTTGAATTGATCCTTGTGATAAGCCATTATATCTTTATTGACGTCTCTTTAGCCTCTTAGTGAAATGCTAGTTTCCTGTGTATATTCTTACACGAGTGTACTGAGTATTCACAAAAACCGCATTCTATTTCTTTTAATAGTTGGCTTAGTAGAAAAAAAACACACCAAATGTAAATTATAGTAAACTTTCTTATATGTTTATTTTGTATCAGATATAATAATTGGTTTTTATTTTCCCCATAATAAACAAAGTAAGTGTGAATTTTTAGACAATTTTAGTTCATCTGATGTTTCAGCTATAAAGACTTCGTATCCTCAACTTTGTGGCATTTTTTAGGTTGTGGAATAGATCCTGTCTTGGTGCTTCGATATATGAATACAGGGCAGCACAATGATCCTCTTGGAGCTGTTGACAAATGCCTAAGATCTGCCAATATATGTCTCTAGTACAGGGGCGAATAAAATCTCCCTCTTCAACTAAATCCTTTAAATTATCAATGGCTATTGCAGCAGTATATTCATAAAATTGTCTGTAACATAAGAATTCTAGCATGAGTAACATTACAAATGGAGATATATCTATGTTTCCCTCGATGTGACCTATTAGCCGCTGCTCGTGTTTTAATTCATCAATATAATTGATATTTTTAGAAAGTCTGATGTCCCCCATAACAACTCTCTGCATCTTAGTGGAACAAGATTGTCCTCCCACTTCTGCTGTATATACCTTGATATCGTCCACGTCACTCATATACATAAGATACGGCTGTTGGAATTTGTTATTTGCTATCTCTAGGACCTTTCTTGCTTTTTTGTGTTTTAAAGTCTTGTAATAATACATCACAAGGTACAAGATATCAGAAACGAACCCCATTTTTGCAGCTAGTTTCAACATATAACATGATATCTTGTCAGCTTTATAGATTAACTTGTTATTTGCAATGTTAGCAAACCTGCTGTGTAACATAAAAGCTGTGCTTTGGAGAATAGTGACTGTAAGTTTCTGTGCCATTAGAATTTGATAGTTTGAATAATTCCTTAGACGTAAATTTATCAATGTTTCCATCGATCGCAGGAGGTGCAAACAGCGGTTGATGTTTTGTGTAAATATTGCATCGTTATTTGATTTTTCTCTAAATAGTTCATAATCAAACATACCCTCCCAATCTTCACTGTCCTGATTAAATGAGATGCAATGTCTAGGATTACAGAAAAAATCTATAGTAAAGGATCTGACAGAGTGACTCTGTTGCAGCAATGCTATGCCCTTCTCATACAGTCCATACAATTCTAAGAAAAGCTCCATTTGAGATTTACCAAATATTTTAGTTAAACACATATTGTTTTCTGGGATAAAAATGTTGGGACACGCACCTTCATATACCCATTTAAGAAGACGCTTAAAACAAACCCAGAAACATTCAAGAAGATTTTCAGGATACCAATAAGGTATTACATTTTGCTGAATCACCCAAAATACAGCTGTTTTCATGTGATAGGAGGAAAGTAAGCCTCCTCTACATTTTCCGTAATAATTTATTTAAGGATTAGTTTGGGTAAATCATACGTGAGGAATTGGCAATGGTTCATGGAGTACACAAGTTTTTGTTCTGCGTAAGCGAATGAAATTCTCCATTCATTTTCCTCGTGATTTCCTAGCTTGTTCCCTATTGCTACAAAGTGACATCCTTTTCTTATAATATCATCCACTACGCCGGAACTAGGCCACGAGTGACATCTTTTGATCCATGCTAAGGCAGGTGGAGGCCATACATCACTTGGAAAAGAGTAAGCATCATCAAATTCAACTCCCTTGAAATTTCCACTCCTACATGGCCCATGAACGTGGGAATCTGGCCTGGATGAAAAACGCATATTTTCCCGAAAATTTGAACTAGATATATAGTTTTTTCCATAAAGTCCAAAGCGCGATGCCCAGATTTTCATTGTTAATGTGAATGGTGAGAGCAATCGAATCAACGTGTATCCAGGCGGGCTTTCGGAACTGTCCACCAGAAACAATGTCTGCCTGCAATTAATCTGATTCTGAGATAAATTCCAAATTACTCGATAGTTAACAAGCGAAATCATAGCGTCCCTGTCAGACTCATCAAGTTTGAATCCTTCTTTATAACTTCCACTACATATTATACGAAAATCTCTTCTCGTTTCATTGGACAAAATCATTTCCCTAAAATCACTAATATCTCTCCTCATGGTCACTTGTTCCGAGGACCCCAGTTTACGACAGAGTACCATAAACACCAACTCTGACATGTGTTGCATACTCTCCATGCTATAATATTAAATTTGATAAAAACGTTTAATAGTCTACAATGCTTTTTATTACTAGAATGTAGATCAGTTAGTTTAATATTATGTGATTCGTGTACGTCTTAAGAGAAGCTGGTGTAACGAGGAAAAGTGAGCACTGTAGGAAATTGACTGAGGCTCATTTTGTATACGTAAAATTTGATCCCCAAGTCAATATACTACGTAAAAAAATGAGCATTTTTCGTTGAAATTTTGGCCATTTGGTCAATTTTCTCCATATGGATAGTAGAAAAATGACCCAGTAGAAAAATAACATTGCGTCTTATTTTGGCACGCAAAACTTGATTTTGTGGGATATTCTTGTTCAGAAAATACATAGGGGTAAAATTACAGTTTTATAATATAAAGTGATTACATATATTTCTAAAACTTTTTACTTCAAGGGGGCCGAGTGGGGTTTTCTTGTGTGAAAACTACAATCGAGAATTTTTATTTTATTTTTATACCATATATTACTTCAGTGACTTCAGTGTACATGACAAGTTTGGGAAAAATCTACCTCCCATGTATTTTTAAGGGACCGTCTTCAAAATACAAGTAAATTTACTATAGAATAATAGAGGAAACTGCCATTTTATGGCACGTAAAAGAAAATTATACAAATACTACTATAACCTTTTTGCTCAAACTATAATATGATGTGTAATACTACTGTAAACGTATTACATTGTCTGTGTGTTCTTTTTTGCGTCTTTGGCGGAAAGACACGCCTGCTAATTCAAGTACAACACTAAATGTCTTGCACATACAGTCATAAATAAAAACATGATGAAATGTGCTAAATCAAAGTTACGCTAACCTTTCAAAAAACAGTTTCCACCAAAAATCATACACGCCAAATGTAATACATCTACAGTATATTGCACATATATAT